CACGTTCGAATTGTCGCAAGCATCCTAGATATTTTGCTCCCACAATGAAATAAAAGTTTGTTGTTGTGTATAAACTTACCTAAGGGTTATTGCATGATGATATGAAAGTGCAAGACTGTTGATCTAATTCGAAAGTACTAAATACGAAAGTACGAAAGTACTCTATAACGACTCTAATTCTACCAGTGAGTGATATTTGAAAGACAATCATTAATGTAATTAAATATTAGTTTATCTCGTAAGTATATATATATAATGCGGCTTTTTAAAGATATTTTTGGGAAAAAAATTAACATTTTAATTTTAATCTAAAATATATTTTCCATTATTATACTTACAACTACTTCCCATCTTTATCTTAAATTTTCAATTGCTTGGCGATGAAAGTCTTTTGATTTTGAGCTAAAGAATAAATCAATCTCCTTTTTATACCACGTCATTTATGAGATGACCCAATATTCTTATCACTTTCGATTATTAGCATTTAAATATATTAATTTATACGTTGTAAAGAAACGTGTTTATATTTTTGTTTTGTTTTGTACTACTAAATAGTTCAAAATAGAATGTATATATTTTTGTTAGCTGTAACAACTTTCCTGTTTCAGCTCCTGTGCTCACCCCTCTATTAGTAATACTACTGTCGGGGTTGAATTACGCGTACTGTATAAATCTACATACATTTTGACGTTTGTTGCCACTGCTTCGTTGCAAGCGGCGTTTAGCTTATAACGCGTAAGACCGATATGAAACTAGTGAGGCTTCGTTAAATATGTATTGAAATTAACGACGCGGTAATAAACAAATATCGCATTATTAACAGTAATGATGTTGAGAACATTATTCAACTTGCATATTTTGCCAATAATTATTTCGCGCTTATCAATGCCAGCCGTTAGCAATTGAATATGAAATTCATCTCTGCATATTGTGTATCTTTTAATATTAAAGGTAGGTATCACCTTTATTTATAAATATTAATCGGAATGAGAATATTCCACAAAATTTTTAACGAAGATTATAGGCTTATTTCCACTATCAAATTAAACATTGTGATGATATAACGAAGAAAATTGTTTTATATTTTGAGGTAGAACTACGTCTTTGTCGACAGTAAGGGGAGGTAAATCCAGGCACAGATACAACGAAAACATGTCACACTTTGAAAGTTTATATCTTCGAAACTAATAATCGTAGAGTAATAAATAAGATATGTCATTCGATAGCTTATAGAATCCCATTTTCTCTCTAAAGTCTCTAAAGTCTCCAAAAGGGGTTACCGATTTATATCTTAACAAATCTCCATGATTGCTCTAATTTCCGTAAATTTTGTGGTATTAAGCTGAAATTTCTTTTTATGGATAAAGTGTCATTAAGGAAGGTTGGAATTGAATTTGGTGATGATTGGTGAAGGGGTTATCCCGATTTCTGTTTTAACAAATCTCCGTATTTGTTCTAATTTCCGTACATTTTGTGATATTGAGCTGAATTTTTTGATGGAGAGATTATTATCATTAAAGGAAGGTTGATATTGAATTTTCTGATAATTTGAGAAGAGGTTATCGATTTCTGCTTTAAAAGTGTATGAAGTTTTCTACCCCTACTTCATATTCAATGCTTTTTATTATAAATTTACAAATATAATTAAAAAAGTGCTCAATTTAGAAATTTGCAGATTGCTTCCTCAATTTGGCAAATTTCTCATAGATAAAAATTTATGAGCGAAAAAAAATGATCAGGAAGCAGTTTTAGATAAAAATTTAGAAATTCCGCAAAAATTAATGTAAAATTACTATATATGTTTGTGTATATGTACTTATATGTGTGTATATGTACATGTATGTGTGTATATATTCAAACGTATCGCTCTTTATTTCCATCACATAAATGATTATATCTATATAAGTTGCTGCTTTCACATATTATATGCCAATTTGATAATCTGTCAATATATACGATACGTTGGACTGTCGATACTCGAATGTATCGATATCCTCGCAAAAGTGACGAATTGTATTAAGCAGCAAATCATTTCGTCATATGAATCAGGAGACAATAATACAGGAAAAAGATATAAAGGATTAAGAGATCGTGAGAGTAAGGGAAACGAGGAAACCTCGTGTAATTCCACCATATTTTTCACTTAAAAAACTTCCTATGTGAGAAAGCCTAAGGTAAAATTATAAAAAAGTTATATATTTAAAAAAAAACGGGCACAGTAACAACTGTGCCGCAAACAACAACGTAGAACTACGTCAACTGTCACTATTTTATGTTAAAGTATTCAACGGAGGAAAGTAGACGTAGGGCTACGTCAACTGTCTTTCGATGAATACTACAATATGAAATAGTGACTTTATGCTGCTATTGCTGCTCCGCTCTCAATATAATTACATATCCTATCGATGTTTTCTCTTACCTGTCTACATGATACCTTAATGAAAATCGCGGGATTATAGTTAATACATTTATAATCCCCCCCCGGCGGTGGATTATAGATTTATTAATATACCACGAGACGTGGTAAATCCCATTTGGCGTGACGTGTCAACATCGCCGCGTTTATCGCGTACCAAGTTGAATTCCGTTTTATTGATTGCATAAGCAATATCCATCTCTTCGAACCTAGAATTTTTGCAAATCCGTAAATCGCTTCGACGCACCCAATTTAGATGCATATTTCACTAGTTCCCGTATTTATTGCGTCGATACCGTGGGATGCGCAGGTATTGTTGGTTTTTTCGATATAACGTGGATGACCGTTGACAGAAACGAGCGCAATCGCGTGCTGTTTTGCAGTGCCACGTTTAAATTTCAATTTATACTCGGCCGTCGCCGCGTCGCGGAGATTCATAGCCGCGCATAAATTAATTAGTATGTTATAATTAACTAACAGTTTACAGTTTCTGTATTTCGGTGAAAATGCATTAATAAATTCTCTAAAGGCTGCAAGTTGAACATTAATTTAATTTATTTCGTTGGAAAAGTAATTCCATTGGAGAAATGCTAGCGTAATTATTGATACATGCGAATTTCTATTTACGTACGGATTCTTATTAATCTGCATAATAATTTTTTTATTTATTGTTTCTCTCTGAAATTACATAGTTGCAATAACACGATTTATATTGTTTCCCCCTCTTCAGTCAACCTTTAAAATATTTGTAATTTATGGAATTAGTTTTTTAATTGCGAAAAATATTGTGTATTTAATTTGATTTATTTTGATCTGTCTTAAATTAGCATTTTTAGATTAAAAAATAAACGTAAAACACGATCTATATCAATTCAATATCGTTTCGGAAGGTGGATTTGGTTTTTACGAATATTGTAACAATTTTTTATATATATAACGATTTTATAATAACATTGAACATTTTCTAAATTATGTTTTACTCTCTATTGTATAAATTAATTATGTCACCTGTATTAAAATAATTTATTCTTTACTTTCATTTTGCTCGATATCGAGTTTTAGAAAGTTAAACGGTGATTATCTTCTTGAATTAAGATTCAACATGACTGTATATTCGCGGATATGCCAGGATATGAGAGTGTGTGTTAATCTGGATGTTCGTATTCAATACTTGTTGCCATTAAATATATTCAACTTGCAACTGACTGAATGAAAACGTTGTTCCATATTCCTCATATCTTCGTTCTGTTTCCTTTGCGCTCTTATCTAATATTCAATAATTTATACATATTTTCTAAAGAAGCGTACGATATTGATATCGAATAACAAATATTGTACAACAGAGCTCTTGAAGATGGAGTTTTAAAAAATGAGAAAAGTTAAAGCGACAGTTTATCTATCGATTGATTTTTTGATTTGTTTTATGTAAATATTGAATGAAGAGGCTTTTAATTTGTTAATGTGTTCCTATGACAGAGGTGCAACATTGCCATATGTGAAAGCCCATCCATCTATTTTCGTCATCAAATCACGTAGTGCTCTGCGTCGTAGTTACAAATTTCGCGACTAAGACCATTGAGCGATGGGAATTAATTAATCTGATAACATACAGGTACGTGAATGTATTAAGGATTTTCAGGCCCAGTGGACTTAACTCGTTGCAATGCCATCTCCGAACCTCTCGAATTTCCCAAGATAATTATTAGATACAAAATCGTATAAAATCGCTAGATCCTTACGATACTTGACATTATTACTTTACGTGGTAGAAATTCTATTTTTATTTGAACTAGTTTTATATTTTTAATATAGATATTGAATTTTAGTCTCATACTTTATTAATAAGTAATATTTTAAGATTTAGATGTTTATTAACGTTTTATAATTTAATTTTATACATGTGACTTAAATCAACGTTAATTACATTTTCGTGCAGTTTTAATCATGTTTATGTATATTGTGTATATTATTACGATATTTACTTATACGATAAATATTTAACAAAGTTAATATGAAATTAATCATTATCTAACGTAATTAGAATAATTGGTGTCTTCATTGCACTTAATTAGGTATGAATTATAGACTTAATGTGGCCTGAATTTGCGCGTAACTTGATCCTATCTAATTAGTCATATTGACATATTGCCGAGATGTATCAGCCGTATATTTGTGCGATCGTATATAATACGCCGTATCTTGAGAGGATTGACTGCTGTAATTTTCCAAAGTTTCGTCGTGGAAATGTATCGTTGAAGTTCGTGAAAGAAGTTTGCATCTTTTCTTAAAAACTTTCTTTAGTCCGCTATTTGCCGTGACGTTTTAATATTGCATCCCCACAAACATATAATGCTATATGCTATCATTAAATAGATCACCGTCATTAGTTATTAAATCTGGGAAATTTTTGTTGTTGTTTGAACGTTCAAAAAATAAAAAATCCAAACGTATTAACTTTAGGTGACAATGCATCGTCTGATGATCGTCAATAGTGCGGTTAAATTAAGAAGCACCGAGCCTTTTCCGGCTTGTGCTTATCGATATGGCTTGTCATTGTTGATTTGCTGAATAATTGCGTGCTCACCTGTCAGTTCGCGTGTCAGTCTGCTGTATTTGCGTCGGTATTTGTAATTCTTGCTCTCGATTTGATTTCGCCTCCACCCGATGATCATCCTCTTCTTCTTTCTCATTCGTCGTTCTCACGGTTGTTGCGTCGCAATTCTCCACCGCAGTGTTCCTACGTTCCACCTGTATAAGAAAATCCGAGGGCACACCGGTAAACTTACTTCCCATTTAATTTCCTGAGTATACGGAACGTTAAGAAATACACAAGTATGTACAGAATGTCAAGAAAATTAACTGAATTCGTGCCGACTTCTAATTTTGCACTCACGTCAAGTTATAGCAATTGTAATGTAATAAGTTTTATTTAATTACTTATTGTTACATATATACATGTTCTGTAGAAAGTATTTTTGATTAAAACTGCATTTTTTTCTGAAAAATTACAAACTTAGTAACCACGTAAAAAATTTTTATTGCTTTCTCGTCATACCTTTTAAATATATTTAAGAGCTAGGAATTTTTATCACTTTTGGATTTTAACGATGGAAATCACAAAAAAGGTCAACAGAAAAGGAAGCAGAAAATACAAAATAGTCACTATGTCCCTTTAATATTAAACCTTTAATTTTCTGAGCTATATTTCGTCAATTATTAAATTACTATTTTTAATTGGACTTTTATTTCTTATCTTGGTATCTCAGATTCCTATTTTATATTTTTAATTGTTTTCTCCTTTAATGAATTCAACGATACTGTTATTGATGTCGCATTTCTAAGTGAGAACAGTCGTCAGTCGTCATTTGCAATTTCCTCATTATTTTATCCGTATATTCTCTTGGAATTAATTAACAACACTTACCGTGTTGGGATATAGCTCTTTTCGTTGCTCTTCATCGTCGGACTGAATCACGGTGGCTTCCGGTGCGACATGGCTGCTGTTTTCCGCCATCTCTCCTTTCTCGTTTTAGCGCGGCCACAGCAGAGGCCCAACAAGCAATACACGATCACGCACACAACTCTCTTGATTTCGTTCACATGCACCACTCACACGCGCTGCGGCTTTGACCCGAAGTCTTTCCGTTTGTGTTCCGCTCAGACTGCGTGATACCGCATTTTTGTCAAAATTGCATTTCGCTGCTTTCACGGAGTATGGTTACGCACTGACTCATTCCGTTCGTTTTGAATTTCCTTCATGGAACGCTTTAGATCTGGGAGAATATATCGGCGATCTTCGCGTGGCAGGAAATAGGAATATCCGGACACTCGAGTCGATGAAAGGGCACGTGTCAAGGTCCCGTTAGGACTGATCGTTGTGCACGCGCATTCTGTTAAAATTCTGTTACGTACATAAATTTAGAAAACAATTATTAGAAAGAGAATATTGGATTGAATCGATAGTGAATGGAAGATATATTTTCTAAGGATTTATGTTACTTTTTCTTTTATCCAGATATTGTGAGAATTCATGAAATATTTTAATTAGGGGTAATAAGTAAATATTTCGAAACAGTGCATGAAAGAAGAAATTAAAATCTCTGGAAATGTACTTTGTCAATCAACATTTGTTCAGCAACAAAATCTAATTAATTTTATTTAAACGTAGTAACTCTTTACTTTTACCTAATTGCTCGTAAAAATTCCCATCTCGTTATTTTTAGCGAAAATTGTAATTGAGCAAATATGATATATTTTTTCTCAGCAAATCACTTTTATAGCACCTAAACTAATAGAAAGAGTGAAAAAGTTAATAAAAAACAAATTAAACTTTTATTAAAAATAAAGTTATTACTGTTTTAATAAATCTCGAGAATTGACTACGATATTTTCTGATTATTTTCCGTCATTTTTTTTGCCACACGATTATTTCATGTACATATGAGAAATTATACTTAATTCTGTACTTCTTTATTCATATAATTTTTATTAACGCTTATTTTCAAGGTAAGTTAATTCTAATATTTAATAAAAGTTGAAAACTAATAGTTAGTAGAACGCATGCCGCAAAAACTCTATAAAATGAGCCGATAATACTCGAAATTCAGTTTAAGATAGTTGAACGAAGAAATTTCTCGACTTTTAGTGATGGTTAACGGGAACTTCCTCCTCTTGTTCGAACAGTGGGTAATGAGACTCCTCCGCAATTCTTTGCCCCCAATAATTCTCTTCGTACAGAAATTAAGTGATGGAAGAAGTCTAATATTTATACCATCCACCATGTAATATGCTTTTAGATGAGATTATTCTACTGAAATCTTGAATTTTTCCAAACGATTGATTACACTGTTAAGTATTGAAAGGATCGTTGAAATTTAATTCAATACTTTGAATTAAATAACAATTTATTTATTTTTAACTACCACGTGTGTCGAAATTTATTATTTTAACACAAATCAGTATTATTTTAATTCCATTTGTTTAGTTCAATTAACGACATATTGAGTAGGAGCAGTGGCGATCTATAGGACGGTTAAAAATAACTCAAATTTGGTATATTAATTTGACACAAATTTAACATAGTGTATATGTATATGATTGTACGTAAATTGCTCGTTTGCAAATTCAATTTATAATATTATTTCCTACAAATGTGGAGTTAGAGCATAATGTTACATTACATTGAACTTTTTCGTAGAGAAATATCCGTAGAGAGAAATATCCGGTATAATTTTTTTTCTAATTTTTCTTTTTCTCTTTTTCTACACATATAATTTTATAGTTTTAATATCTATTTGATTTACATAATTGTAAGAAATAAATTTTATTTGTAATTCAGGAAATTTTCAGAATATCTTACTATATAAGTTAATGTACTTAGTACAGGTTACATCACATTCGTTTCGATAATTTAAGAAAGCTGTGTAATACGACTATAGTTATTGCCGTAAAAACGATAAAGACATTTAATTAATTATTAGATTAAATAATGGCCTTTTGAAATCGAAAGCATCTCTAATGAATTATGCCACTACTATTCCACATTAATTAAATATCTTCATGTGATACCTGACGTTGATATTGAATTTCGTGTTCAGGTCGAGAAAATCCATTTAACATCAGTATTCGAAAATGTCTGCATGCTGATGATAATATAACCATGAACTACACGGTGAAGAGTTTTCAGCGAATTGAACTGCATGTTGTTACTTAGATAAGGTTTCTAAATTTAACTGACTATCCCTCGTGACTTATCACCGTAATCTGTGTATTGATAGCAATTGAAGACATGCTGTGTGTTAATAGGATCGATAATAACGTAGGATAACGATAGCAATATGTCGTGGCTATAGTTAGCCATGGGAAATCAAAAGCGCAATAATGATTACGCTATTATGTAGTTTGAATGATATTACAATAATGCTGAAATGATATATCCAATTAATGTCATACATGGTAGAAATTGTGTGCGCAACATACATAAAAGTAGTAAAATATTTTTATTTATAGATTTTATTTATACATACAGAGAAAAATAGTTGATGAGAGGAAATAAAATAATATTTAGATAAAATATATTTTAAACGAGTATATTTTAATTAATACATATATAAAAGGTGATTTAAAGACCACTTGAAAAATATATAATATGAACCAGATAACTTGCGGAAATTGAGAAAAAAAATATAAACGCATTGTTTGACATTTGAACCGCTTTGAAGCTAAATGTAGCGTTCGTGGAAAATATGTTAGAAAACTGGCTCCAACATTCAACATTCAATGTAAAATTATTCAGACTATTTCAAGAGTAGGATTAATTTTAACTCGGTCCAATTTGCATAAGTAGTGTATAGAAATTACACAGCACACAAAGTGAATGGTACAGATTGCAGTATAAATGAATATGAAATATAAATGACGGAAAATTATACATAATGAGAAACTATTTTTCATCGTGTAACCTGTAACTCATTTCTATCCATTTACTCTGCTCATTCATTTTGATGAATTTTATATTTCGATAGGAAACTAGAAATATTTCCCACTTTTATTTTACTCTTTTTTTTCAGTAGGCAATGCGCAACTCCCACTTTTTTTCTATCGTACATTCCATATAAATTCTCTTTCCCTTTATATGATTTATATCGGTATCTGTGAGAAGTCGAAAGGAAAATTTGCACGGTCGGCATAATGCTGAAGTATGTGAAAATCATGTGGAATAATTTGGCGCCTATGGTAAGATACGCTACGATGAATTTCAGCAGGTGTGAAATTCCTTTTGCATATCCCTTTACCTTAGAAAGTCCTTCTGATCCGGATATAGCGGTGTGTCGTACTTAATACCTGATATATAGTATACCTATATAGCTTTGGCAATCGGATTATTTCAAGTGTGTTCTTCGTTTTGTGAATCTTATTATGTTTATAACACTTAGTTATAAATTCGCGAAAAAATAAAGAAAAGGTTCGTGCAAAAGACGCACTTTTTATTAAGATATACATCGCACGATCACGTTGGTCAGAGTTGTTATGTCAGAGTCAGAAAATTATCAGGTTACATTAAACACGAAGTTTGCTTAATTAAAATTACGCAATATCGCGGACCTCAACAGAGATAAGGTTGAAATGTTATAACTTTTGCCACACAGCAAAAAGTCTTTGCCGATCGGGTTTCTCGAACTGTTTTTAATATTATTTGTCTTTTAGAGCGCATTTCAGTAGAGAATGAAACATATAATCTGCAAATGATACTGAAAAGAAACAGCATTTTATTCGCTGTAATGAATGATTTGATGTCACGTTTTCATCATGTGTCACCGTGTTTTTAGAAACATGGCTGTCTCAGAAATAAATACGGAACAGAAAGTGTACTCGATACTATACTCGAAGAAGTTAGAAGTTAGAACGATCTGACGATATCGGAGAAGCAATCGACTGAGACAGTTATAAGCCATTTGTTCGAAATCGTAATAAATGAAAAGAACGCCGAAGGGTGTCCGCGGGAAAGGGCTTGTTAGGGCAGTATACGAACTCTTCAATTTCACGCTATCCATTCCGCGGAAATGTACCGACCTTAATTACAAGTTTATTCATTAGCGACAGTTGTCGAGTTTCGACGAGCATGCGGATATCGTTAGTCTCGCGCAGATCTCGCGTTACCACGAATAATGTTACGGCTGGGCCGGCGTTCGAGAGTTTCGAACTTACTTAAACAACTTTTCCATTGTTATCTATATATACACACCAGGGTGCGACGGGAGCACGGAAGTATTTTTACGTGATTATGGGTAGTTCCCGTGCGCGGAGACGCGGCTACCACTCAATATGATTGAAGCTTACGCGCGGCGAACAAAAACTTCTGAAAACAACTATGCGAATTGATTATATTCGTGTTAGTGTTTGTGCGGCTAAGTTGATAAAATGATGAATCGAAAGAAGATAATAAAGTTTTGGTAAGGAATTCATGGGAAGAGAGAATATTAATCTCTGTTTCGGAATAAACGTCGTCGTCAAATAGAGAACTGTCAAATTCGAAAAATATAGAAAGCTGTACGAGGCGATTCGTGCGATTTCTTTTAAATTTCAGAGATGTAATTTAATTTGCGATCAATTTTCCGCGTTATTTCAAAGAGCGCGACGCTACTTAAATCTTTGGTTGGAAGACAGAAATGTCGCCTGGCCTTCATTAAAAAGTACTACTCTCGAAATATATCGGGAGAAAGTTTTATTGCTCATTCGCGTTCGCCGTGGAACTCCGTGCGCTTTACATCATTGCGACTATGCAATTGGACTCCGAAATGGATAGCAATAAAAATAACGTAGCATTTATTCGAGAACGTGCTCCACGAACATGCGTATATTGTACTTTCGAAAAAGACAAAACTCGCAATTCTCGATACCAAAAAGCAGTAAAAACTTAATTACTTTGATTGATTAGGGTTTGTAAGTGGAGACTATTTTGGAAAAAAAAATGTTGAGAAAAAAATATATTTACGAAATTTTATTTGCATAAACAGAATTATAAGGTTTCTAAAAGCTTATTTTTTGTGAGCAAGTTTTATTTGTTATTTCACTCATACATGCTCGATTTAATCGATTCGGCGTTAACTGTGTAATGAAATGTCGTCGTATAAGAGCTAATTGTAAGATAAACATCATGAATATGTGTTACGACAATGTATAATGACCTAGATAATTTGTCGATGTACGACCCGATATGCAATCTAAGAAAGTATTTTTTTAAGTTCCCAAGATGTTTACCAATGTCACGAGCGTATTACGAGATGGTTGCCGTGAACGATGATTTACGATCGCAATAACGAAGGAGAACGGACCGAGGTTACCCCAAGTGCATTGTTGAATTCGCCACGTTGATCAAGCTTAAAAGATTAAGTCGCACAAGTGTATTTCTGTCCTGGTTATAGATCGAAATTTGCGCGGAAATTGCGTTTTCCCGCGTGTAAAATGAGGCAACTTTAATTTTATCGTAAATATTCGATACACTGATTTCAATATTCCGCAAAGTTTATTTGGACGGTCGGTTGTACATTATGCAACGTGGGTTGCAAAATCAACGTGTGTGAAACTCAGCGTGAAATTTGTCGTTTAATAGCATATTAAGAATTTAACATTGCCTCGTTAACTTTTCAATTACGATTGCGTAAATTTCTATAACGTTAATATTTATACCCTCTTTTTCACCGCGCAGTAAAAATAATACAGCGTTAGATTATTTTACTTTCAATTTGAGCGTGTTAAACATGAAAGGGAAAAATTCTCACAAGCGTACATATTTACACTTGCGTAAATACGATTCTCCGATGGCTTATGGGACAATTATACGGATCATAAAAATAGTGATTACTCATCAGTCTCATTATTCATGTAACAGGGTCAGTTTGGAAGGTGACATTAGCAAAACGTTATGTTGTTCGCTTTATGTAAGGATAGAACTATGTGATATAAAACCGGACGCAGTGCGTAACAGAAATTCGATCGATATTTTCTCGTAATAACATAATAGCAATCGCGGCGTTCCCTGCAATATATAAAGTAACTGCGGCGAAGTAAACTTGCGCAGAGCATACAACTCATATCCACATCATTATTTACATTGTCTAAACTACTATACATTGTCTAAACTACTATACATTGTGTAAATTACTATAGATAGTAAGGCACATAATGCGTTGATGGAAATAATAAAATGAAGACGGTATAAAAGTGGAACACCGTAATGGCTTTGACGACGAAGTACTGATGACAGAGGCAATGTTATGTTGCAATCAAGATGTTAAATATCTAATCCTAACATCGCGAAGGATACCCAAGCCTATCGATCTCGGTTAATTGCTGTTCCACCTATATACCTGCCCTGACAAGTACCGCTTAATCGCGGGCATAAGATTTGTTTTCCTTTTAGCGGTTTCTATGAATGGAAATGCGCAAGAAGTGTCTATTGAAGTTTCCATTGGAAGTGTCCATTGTTCGATAATCCTTTCCGTTCTTGAAATAACTTTGAGAAGGGAGTAAGAAACGAAAGTTTTGCAGCAAAGGTTTACTATTTCTTTGTACAGCACAAAGGCGTTTCCATGGTTGACATTTGGTCGTCGCGACGTAGAAAAGAACAATAAATCGGACTTGGAAAACAAAGGGCACGATACTATCGCTTATTTGTCGATGCGTCATATAGTATGCACATATATACACGCAGAATGTAATTTCGGTCGTGTAATCTGCTTCGTTTGATTGTATTATCCTTTGCGTGGACTATCGACTTTAAGATAACGGATCGTCCTTCCCGAACGAAGCCACGATTGCCTCATAATTTTTTTCCTGCGTCAGCTACAATCCATTTTTATTAGAATTTATGGTTACCCAGCGACGAAATTTCGGTACAGCTACGCTATATTTTAATAAAGCTAATTAAGCCATATTATAAATGAGAAAAAAAATTTTCATGAACATGCGTAGTCAAACACAATTTTAATTAACGCGATCGATAATATCCGACGGATTATTATTAAACAAATATTTTTTTTAAATTATAAATGTGAGGTTTTGTGGAGATTTTTAATTTGTACTAATAACAGAGATCACCTTCAATTCAAATTGGAAGAGTGACTTCTGTTTTACTTAAGTGAAACTCACTTAAAATCCAATTAAAGAAAGTTTCGTTTAAAGTTTATTAAAATGTTTGTAACACGAAGTGGAATAGTTTTCGAATGTCTTACGGAACGTTTAAAAAAAAAGTGCGACAAAATATTGTTTGTTCTGAGTTCCTGAGTTCTTTCTTTGTATAGTATATATTATGCATTCCCGTACTGCACACGCACACACACACACACACACACACACACACACACACACACACACACAC